GAGAGCTTTCCAAAACACTATAATAAAGTATTTTTTCATTAAGTACTTTTTGAGTTATTTTATATTTTAATGACATATTTTGATATAAAAAATAAAATATTTCATAAAATATTTACAATAAACCAAAAGTATAGGCTCTATTAAATACAAAATCAAAACATAAATAATTGACAAGTAAGAGCCAGCGCTGGAGTTGGTACGCATACTTTATTTAAATATTAGCTTAACCGAATGTCGATTTACGACATTACAAAATTATAATTAGACTAACGTTTCGGTCCCTTTTTGGACCTTCTTCAGCGTGATAAAAAATAGACGCAAACATAAAAGATACTTAAATCGGCGGGTCAATACAAGGGAACTAATCTATAACAAATTATATCACATTAATATTCGTTGTTTAGACATCACCAAGATATCGTAGGCACGTCTTCTTCACAGGTGTCATGAGAGTCTCAATTTTTAAACTTGACGGTTCACACCCCTCCCTGGTTGGCAAACCAGGAAGCGCATGAATCAATATGTTCACAGAACATTTTAATAGCACGCCTCCTGGAATTGACAAGATGGAGTGAACTTATTGTAGAACGCGTAAAAAAGATATAACACTTAAAACTCCTCAAAAGTCCTTTTTTCAAAAAAATTATTTATCCCCCCAAAAAAATTTATATAAATAAATGATTCAAAACAATAAATAATGGTGAGTAAATAAGTCAAATTTATAAGACCATACATAAATAAATAAATTAAAAACCATAGTATGTCATAGATTAAAAAAAGGAATTACAATAACAGTCAAATGACTAATCACAAGGAAAAAAAAACCCCTCAAAAATTGACGAGAAATAATTAATGTGTGGTGTCAATACCTTAACATATCTTGGTATACACATAGCCAGACCAAATGGACCATCTTTAGCGAGATCTCAATGTAGACTGACAAATCTTACGCGGTGAGACGGAAACGTTAAGAGTGCCAAACAACAGTTTTTGATTATTAAAGTTTTGACATTTTATCGATGACGGTCATGTACATATCGGGTAGGCATTCTGTGTCTGTTTGTAAATTAAGGCTATTTACTTGTCTTTTAATGAAAATCATCTCTGACAACAACCGTTTTTGGAGAAATGGTTCACTATCTAATATTTCCACCTCTTCCCAATTAAAATTATGATTAAAATTTATCCTATGCTCGGTAACAACTGAATGAACAGCTGTGTTGCGATTTATGTGATTCCTGTGGTTCAGAAATTCTTTTTGTCAATTGTCTACGTGTCTGTCCTACGTAGGATGCGTCGCAATCCAAACAATTAATTTGGTATACAACATTCTTGCAAAGAGATTTTGGGGTGATGTCTTTGTGTATTTTAATATATTTATGCAATTTATTAAGACTAAAATAAAATAATCTAACGTCGAGATCTTTTATGATATCAATAAACCGTTCAGATATGGAAGGAATATGCGGAATTGTAAAGTAAACAGTCTTGGGTTGGTCCTGTACACTAGTATTCATTTTTGCATAATTTAAATTGTTGATTAACATTTTGAGCCGTTGATGGATAGTCTGGAAAATGAAAGCTAAAGGATAGGAATTATTAAGCAGAATCTGTATAATGAGGTTGATGTTTTTTGAGTGAAACGTGGGATGAGACAATAAAAATGCTCTATCTAAGAGATCGATAACCGTGCCTCTTTTCTGACAAAGTGGATGTTGAGAAAGAAAGTTCAGGTATCTGCCAGAGAACGTCTCCTTATGGTACCAATCATAAATAATGCGATTGTTGTCTAAAACATTGTTATGTCCAAAAAATTTAAGCTGTTATTTAAACCGGTTTCAACTGTAAATTATAATCTTGTGTGGAAATAATTGAAAATGTTTAATGTGTAGTCTATTAACTCAGAAAGAACCGCGAGAGCCACATCGTCGAC